TAAACCACTTCGAAAGGTGAATGGTGTGTTGCAGGGTGTGTTGCTCGGTTGTATGCGAATTCCACATGTGGAATACAATCGAGCCAATTCTTCAAGTTTCTCCCGATGGTGGCTCGGATTAGGGCAGCCAATGTGCGGTTCACCACCTCGGTTTGGTCGTCGGTTTGCGGATGGCATGTGGTTGAGAACACAAGCTTTGTTCCAAGCTTCCTCCAAAGAGTCTTCCAAAATTAGCTCAGAAATTTAGTGTCCCGATCCGACACTATACTCCGCGGCAATCCATGTAAGCGTACTACTTCCTTGAAAAGCAAGTCAGCCACGTGTGAGGCGTCATCCGATTTAGCACACGGAATGAAGTGCGCCATCTTTGAAAAACTGTCAACCACAACAAAAATCGAATCTTTGTTCCGGATTCGAGGGAGTCCAAGAACAAAATCCATCGAAATATCAGTCCAAGGTGATAAAGGAATGGGAAGAGGGAGATACAAACCGTGCGGGTGTGTCTTAGATTTGGCTTGATGGCATATAATGCATAGCGACAAATCGTTCAACATCCCGTTTGAGATGCGGCCAAAAGAAGTGGTCTTTGACGATTGCAAGCGTCTTCTCCACGCCAAAATGTCCTATGAGAGCTCCATTATACGCCTCCTATAAAATAAGTTCCCGCATTGAGCACTTTGGAATGCATAGCCTCCTTTCCCGAAAGAGATAATCAGCCTTCTTGTAGAATGATCCATGAGCTCCCTTAGTGCACTCCTCATAGATGCCTCAAAGCTCGGCATCATCACGGTATAGCCCCTTGATGTGCTCGAATCCAAGCATCTTAGCCTCCATGATCGAAATCAAAGCATGCCGCCTTGACAACGCATCGGCCACCACATTGCCCTTTTTGTGCTTGATCACGTACGGAAATATCTCGACATACTCCAACCACTTAGCATGCCTCCTTTTGAGCGTAATTTGGCCTTTGAGATGCTTTAACATCTCTTGGTCGGTGTGAATGATGAACTCCTTCGTCAAGAGATAGTGCTGCCATGTTTGTAAGGCACAAACTAAGGCATAGAGCTCCTTGTCATAGATAGGATAGTTGAGCATTGCGCTACTCAATTTCTCGCTAAAGAATGCCACGGATCGTTTTTCCTGCATCAAAACAGCCCCAATTCTAATTCCGGACGCATCACATTCAATTTCGAATATCTTATCGAAATCGGTAAGAGCTAAGATGGGTGCACTCATGAGCTTGTCCTTCAAGGTATCGAAAGCCTTCTCTTGTTCTTCTCCCCACTCGAATGCTTTATCCTTCTTGATGATGGATGTGAGGGGAGCTGCAAGAGTGCTAAAATCACGAACGAATCATCGGTAGAAGCTAGCTAGGCCATGAAAGCTTATAACATGTCTGGCAGTGGTAGGGGTTGGCCATTTCCCGAATAGCCTTGATCTTCTCCTCGTCTACGCTTAATCCCTGCGAGCTTACAACAAAACCTAGGAAAACTACGTCATTAGTGCAAAAAGTGTACTTCTTGAGATTGGCATAAAGCTTCTCCCTTCGGAGAGTCTCCATTACAAGCTCAAGATGTGTCACATGCTCGGATAAACTCTTGCTATAGACGAGAATATCATCAAAATACACAACCACAAATTTACCGATAAAGGCGCAAAGTACGTGGTTCATAAGTCTCATAAAGGTGCTAGGAGCGTTGGGGAGTCCGAAAGGCATGACGAGCCATTCGTACAGCCCATGTTTCGTCTTGAATGCGGTCTTCCACTCATCTCCTTCTCGCATGCGGACTTGATGATACCCACTCTTCAGGTCTATCTTTAAAAATATGGTTGCTCCGCTGAACTCATCCAACATATCATCGAGTCGTGGTATTGGATGGCGATATTTGATTGTGATGTTGTTTATCGTTCTACAATCCATGCACATACGCCATGTCCCATCCTTCTTTGGCACGAGTAGAATGGGCACTGCACAAGGGCTTAAGCTTTCACGTATATAACCCTTAGATAATAAATCTTGTACCTGCGTTTGGAGTTCCTTTGTCTCCTCGGGGTTCATATGGTAAGTGGGACGGTTTGAAGTGGTGCTCTGGCACAAGATCGATTTGGTGCTTGATCCCGCGAATTGGTGGTAATCCCGCAGGTGGTTCCTCGGGAAAAACGTCTTGAAAATGCTCTAGGAGCTTCTTAATTTCCGGGGGATACACAATCTGATCCGAATCTGCGCTCAACACTTCTTTGAACACCATTAGTAAAACAAAACGTCTTTGATATTTTCACATTGGATGTCTAGCACATTTTACGATATTTTGCATATTTATAGATATCCCTTGTACATTTTATTCCGACTTCGATGTCTTTGATATTTTGCAAGAAAATTGAAGCTTTGGACGAAAATGAGGCAATTTCGGAGAAAAAAGACATGACCCGGAACCAACCCGAAAATATTCTGAGTACCAAAGAATCAAAGAGGAAATGCTTGCACGATGTTGATATTTCGAGTCCCATAACTTTTGCAATACAGATCCATATCATGCGTACTATATAGAATTGGAAATCCTTTTTCAATAGCTACTCACAAACATAAAGATCACTCCATTCAGATATTGCATTAGAAAGTTATGATGAAAATACTATGAGCATATGTTCTGACGACGAACTGTGCACAAGTGTGCTATTGCGAGCTACATGACTTTCTCAATACAGGTCCAAATGATGTATGCGATACATCATTGGAAAGATATTGTCAATAGCTACACGTGGACATCAAGATCACTTCAATCCGACATCGGAGCCGAAAGTTATGAGGAAAACATTATGACTATGTCATTTGGTGGCGACAAGAAAACAGCTTTTCCTCAAAACACGGAGCTCGTGAATTATGGAGGTAAATGAGGAGGAAAATGGGGAAATGTCTTTCTTCTTTTCTTGGCTATAAAAGGGGCACGAAGGGGAGGTTTAGAGGATCATCCAAGACATTAGAGAGTGAGTTTGAAGAGTGAATTGAGAGCTTCTTGAGAGAGATCCAAGGAGGAGTCAAGAGAAGAAGAAGAAGAGGAGGAGGAAGAAGAAGAGTCCTGCAACTATCACTAAGCATTCTCTTCCCTCTCTTTTAATTCTTGTCATGAACTTCTATTTGGATGTTGTTTGTATGTTTTCCATGTTGTGTGAGTAGATTTATCATTGTAGGTTAGGGATTAAGGTTGTGTAAGGATCATGTGAACATAACCTATCTTTGAAACTATGGGTTTTATAATTTGGTTTGAATGAATGAATCTTAATGCTATCAATCTTGTTGGCCACTTGATTTGTTGAACCTAGAATTTAGTTTGCATAGAGATATGGAACTAAGTTTGGAACTCTTTCATTTGAATAGATGAACATTGCATTGAGAAATGAATGAACATCTAGGAATCATGATGGTGGATTTAATGCTCTTAAGAGTTTCAATCTATTTAGAATCGAGAGATCGGTAGGTTGAACTCTTAGGAAGAGAGGTGAGACTCGAGAGAGTAATCCTCTATAACAAGAACTTGAATTTCCCGAATCATAACTCTAGTTACGAAGATACATCCGTAGAAGCGATCCTTACATAACCCGTAATTCCCGACACCTACGATGTTTTATAGAATTGTGCTAAGTCTTTGCTTATATTTGTTTTAATTCGTGTTTACTTTCAGTTATAATCATCACCATCATCATTATCGTCTCCGACCGAAACCGAGTAGTAATTGTAATTGTTGTCGTTAAACCATACGTGTCCTTGTGTTCGACCCTAGGTACTACAATTGATCCGTACACTTGCGGTGATTGTATCTAGGAATTAAAACAAGATTAGATCACATCCTAGATCGACATCAAGTTTTTGGCGCCGTTTCCGGGGACACAACGGTTTTAGCGATACGATTAGGAAACTACTTAGTTTGGGTCATTTTTTTTTCTTTTGTTTGATTTGGTTCTCATTTTTTTTTCCTGTTGTCGCTCTCTTTGTTTTGAAGATTTCTTTGGTGTATGACTAGGAGTTCTAGGTCGCAAAACCTAATTCCCTTGGATCCTGAAATAGAGAGAACCATAAGACAAAACTTGAGACAACACCGAGAAGAGATGGGAGATCACGACGTTGTACCTGCACCGGGAAATGCACATATAAATGAAGAAACCTTCGCGCAATACAACGCCCCACGACATACTGAGCTCTTGTCCGGCATTCGGATGCCGGAGGTGGACATGACGACATTTGAGCTCACCCCCACCACAATCCAAATGTTGAGCGCCATGGCCTTCCGAGGTAGGCCAAATGAGGATCCTGACGCACATCTCACTCGGTTCAAGATGATGTGTCGTTCCATTAAAAGAGCTGATCAAGTAACCGAGGACGCAATCCGCTTAATCGCCTTTCCATGGACGTTGATAGACGTGGCACTAGACTGGCTCTATGAACTCGAACCGGATTCCATTCATACGTGGAATCAATTGGAGAGCCAGTTCATGCAACGTTTCTTCTCCCCGCACCGAACTCAAGCAGCCTTGAACAACATCCACTCGTTCAAGCAAGACCATGGAGAGACTCTACATGAAGCGTGGAAGAGATACAAGGGCTACCAGAAGTCATGCCCTCATCACGGCCTCGACAAGAACTACCTGGTCAACACATTTCTCAGAGGCCTGAGGTCGGATACCCGGACATTAATTCGAGCCTCATGCGGAGGGAGCATTTCAAACATGTCCTTCACGAAACTCGAGCAGCACATCGACCAAATGGCGAGAGAAGAAGATTCTCCGTTGGAATCCGTAAGAGACATGCCCAGGAGAGATAGTGACGCTAAGCTGCAGCTCGTACTAGACGAACTCACATCGTTGAAGTCGAAGCTTACTAATTCAAGTTTCGTCTTCGAGCCTCATGCGGAGGGAGCATTTCAAACATGTCCTTCACGAAACTCGAGCAGCACATCGACCAAATGGCGAGAGAAGAAGATTCTCCGTTGGAATCCGTAAGAGACATGCCCAGGAGAGATAGTGACGCTAAGCTGCAGCTCGTACTAGACGAACTCACATCGTTGAAGTCGAAGCTTACTAATTCAAGTTTCGTCTCCTCTGCTAGCACCTCGGGCGACCAACAAGGCGAGCTTGCATTGTGCGAAGTGGTAGAAGACGTGAACAACGTGGAAAACAACCCCTATTCCAACACGTACAACCCAGGATGGAGGAATCATCCGAATTTCTCCTACAAGAATAACAATGCTCTCAACCCTGCGCAGAACAACTATCGGCCAATACAAAACCAAAATCAACGAATTCCACCGGGGTTCGCCTTTCAGTCACGTCCTCCACAGATGCAAAACCAAACGCAGATACAGAGCCAGACATACAGACCTCCAGTCCAAGACTTTCAAGCACCTACGCCTCCACCGCCGCAACAAGACATTAACTCGGAGATCAAAGCGATGCTAGCACTACTCCTTCAAGGACAACAGATGCAAGAGACCGTGCTACACGATTTGAAGATGGACCAAGAGGAATTTAAGAAGCAGATGGGGAGCATGCAAGCTCAAGTGGATGGGATGCAGTCCCATCTAAAACTACTTGACAACCAGGTTGCCCAATTGGCCTCGACATCTCAAAGACCGAATGGAACACTTCCTGGGAAGCCTGAGATAAACCCACGAGAGCATTGTAATGCCATCACCCTAAAGGGTGGCAAGCAGCTTGAAGAGATCACTCCGCCGATGATAGAAAAGGGGCAAGGCTCCAAAGCTAAAGAGGTTATGAACGAAGAAGATAAGGAAGTCTATGTTCCTCCACCACCTAGACCTCCACCCGTCCCCTTTCCATCTCGCTTGAAGAAAAACAAAGAAGATCAACAATTTGTTAGATTTGCTGAGATGCTGAAGAAGCTCGAGATCACCATGCCGTTCACAGAGGCTATCCTACAAATACCATCTTACACGAAGTTCCTCAAGGACATCCTCACGAAGAAAAGAGTCATGGAAAAGGAGACAGTGTCGCTCAACATGGAGTGTAGTGCATTAATTCAACGGGAGGGAGCCCGATCACATATCCTTTACTGTTTGCTTTTCAAAGTGTGGTTGGCTTATTAAGATTTCTTGTATATATTGTGTGTGGATGAATTTTCTGCTTAAGTTCAGATGGAAACAACAAAGAAGAACAACTCAACACCATACTCACAGGCGAGAACGAGTGAATAACGCCAAGAATGATGCTCCACAAAAATAAGCTAAGTCTTTTCCCTTCTCCATTCTTTCCTGCACGAATAAATTGTTTTTTTTAACCACAGGGTGAGCTAACACCGAGACGGTGTTCAGTTCAAGTCTGAGGGAGAGATTCGATAGTCATATGCATCGATAGTCATTTTTTTTCAGGATATTATGTTATTATATATATATATATATCTATATTTGTGTGTGTAAAAAAAAAATTCTTGAATCATTAGAATTAGATTGACTTGAGACATCTTGCAGACTGTCTTAGGAGATCCTAAGGATAGAACGGATTCTCGAAGACATTCAACTTGATAGATTGATCCTGTGATAGAATTAGTTAGAATGTGGGGTAGATTAATATTTAGAACAATGGAAAGATTTTTTATCATCTTATTTAGCCATCTTAAAATCATATCGTTCATCTCAGTGTTTAGAAAAGTCCCGACACTCCTCTGTCATTATCTCGTTAATGAATATCATTCGGGGACATGAGTGCTTATAGGCTCGGGTCTAAGTTGTGGGTCGAGCATATGTATATATATGTAAAAAAAAGAAAGAAAAAAAAGAAAAAAAGGAATATATAATAAATAAATAATGCTCGACAACTTCAACGTCCTAGAAAGTCCGGGACATCTTTCACTAAGAGTAGTAAAAAAAATGAGAATACGATAAAAAAAAATGCTTAGTAAGATTGGTCGAAAATCCGAAAAAGTTCTGAGTAATAATGTAAACCCCATTTCTAGCTAGATCTTTTATTGGGATAAGATATCACCGCAGAATGTCTTTGATTTTGTTCGTAGTTAGCATTATGTTCAATTTTTAATCTATTTCTACGATTCATCTTTGGTAGACAGTTCCATTCATCAAAGTTTTCGAGATTTAGCTTGCTCGAGGACGAGCAAAACGCTAAGTCTGGGGGAGTTTGATGACATGTAAATATTGTCATATTTTCACATTGGATGTCTAGCACATTTCACGATATTTTGCATATTTATAGATATCCCTTGTACATTTTATTCCGACTTCGATGTTTTTGATATTTTGCAGGAAAATTGAAGCTTTGGACGAAAATGAGGCAATTTCGGAGAAAAAAGACATGACCCGGAACCAACCCGAAAATATTCTGAGTACCAAAGAGTCAAAGAGGAAATACTTGCACGATGTTGATATTACGAGTCCCATAACTTTTGCAATACAGATCCATATCATGCGTACTAACAGCATTGGAAAGCTTTTTTCAATAGCTACGCATAGACACGAAGATCACTCCATTCAGATATTGCATTAGAAAGTTATGATGAAAATACTATGAGCATATGTTCTGACGATGAACTGTGCACAAGTGTGCTATTGCGAGCTACATGACTTTCTCAATACAGGTCCAAATGATGTATGCGATACATCATTGGAAATATATTTTCAATAGCTACACGTGGACATCAAGATCACTTCAATCCGACATCAGAGCCGAAAGTTATGAGGAAAACATTATAACTATGTCATTTGGTGGCGACAAGAAAACAGCTTTTCCTCAAAACACGGAGCTCGTGAATTATGGAGGTAAATGAGGAGGAAAATGGGGAAATGTCTTTCTTCTTTTCTTGGCTATAAAAAGGGCACGAAGGGGAGGCTTAGAGGATCATCCAAGACATTAGAGAGTGAGTTTGAAGAGTGAATTGAGAGCTTCTTGAGAGAGATCCAAGGAGGAGTCAAGAGAAGAAGAAGAAGAGGAGGAGGAAGAAGAAGAGTCCTGCAACTATCACTAAGCATTCTCTTCCCTCTCTTTTAATTCTTGTCATGAACTTCTATTTGGATGTTGTTTGTATGTTTCCCATGATGTGTGAGTAGATTTATCATTGTAGGTTAGGGATTAAGGTTGCGTAAGGATCATGTGAACATAACCTATCTTTGAAACTATGGGTTTTATAATTTGGGTTGAATGAATGAATCTTAATGCTATGAATCTTGTTGGCCACTTGATTTGTTGAACCTAGAATTTAGTTTGCATAGAGATATGGAACTAAGTTTGGAACTCTTTCATCTGAATAGATGAACATTGCATTGAGAAATGAATGAACATCTAGGGATCATGATGGTGGATTTAATGCTCTTAAGAGTTTCAATCTATTTAGAATCGAGAGATCGGTAGTTGAACTTTTAGGAAGTGAGGTGAGACTCGAGAGAGTAATCCTCTATAACAAGAACTTGAATTTCCCGAATCATAACTCTAGTTACGAAGATACATCCGTAGAAACGATCCTTACATAACCCATAATTCCCGACACCTACGATGTTTTATAGAATTGTGCTAAGTCTTTGCTTGTATTTGCTTTAATTCGTGTTTACTTTCAGTTATAATCATCACCATCATCATTATCGTCTCCGACCGAAACCAAGTAATAATCGTAATTGTTGTCGTTAAACCACACGTGTCCTTGTGTTCGACCCTAGGTACTACAATTGATCCGTACACTTGCGGTGATTGTATTTAGGAATTAAAACAAGATTAGATCACATCCTAGATCGACATCAAGTTTTTGGCGCCGTTGCCGGGGACACAACGGTTTTAGCGATACGATTAGGAAACTACTTAGTTTGGGTCATTTTTTTTTCTTTGGTTTGATTTGGTTCTCATCTTTTTCCCGTTGTCGCTCTCTTTGATTTGAAGATTCTTTGGTGTATGACAAGGAGTTCTGGGTCGCAAAACCTAGTTCCCTTGGATCCCGAAATAGAGAGAACCATAAGACAAAACTTGAGACAACACCGAGAAGAGATGGGAGATCACGACGTTGTACCCGCACCGGGAAATGCGCACATAAATGAAGAAACCTTCGCGCAATACAACGCCCCACGACATACTGAGCTCTTATCCGGCATTCGGATGCCGGAGGTGGACATGACGAGATTTGAGCTCACCCCCGC